CCTGCCTCTCCCCTCCTGAGTGCTGAGATCAAAGGCATGCACCACCATGCCTGGTTAGACCTCGATTTTTAAGACAAGGGACCTGTGGTTCATTGATTCAGCTGGCTGGTCAATGAGCCTCAGGGATCAGCCTGTCTCAGCCACCTCAGTGCTGGGATTACAATTATGGATTACTACTATGTCAAGCTTTTCACATGGGTGCTGGGATCCAACTTAGTTTCCCATAGCAAGACAGGCACTTTACTGACTGAGCCTTCTTCCTTGTCCCAGCCTCACCCATCTTAATTGCACACCAAGATTTTTGAGGGCACTATGCTCTGCTGTAGGTATGCACTGCAACACCCAGCCCCATCTTTATTTGCTGTAACTGTGCTCACTCTCATCATGCATCCGTCTCCTTGAATTCATCTTTTTATTTGCAACATTCAACTTCAGTGAAAAGAATTGTTGCAAGTGTTAGAGGTGGGAAGAATGCCAAGACAGGAGGTGCTCAAAAGGGGGCCACACAGACAACATCCCCCACTCCCTCTCCCACACATCTATTTGAGCCTCACCAATACAGGTGGCATCATTATCAGCTCCGAGTCACTTGTCTAACCCCACCAATAGCAGCACCAGGTACTGGAGCCATGTGCCTAGCACCTGTGTCCTTGCTCTCAGCTACTGCAGCACACTGAGCACAGAAGGGTGAAGTCTGGACGAAGGCCAAGGTGGAGGGTGGGTATGGACTATGGCTTCGAGAGGAAGGCAGGGAGGATGAGTGTGGGCTGTGAGTGTGGCTCACTAAGAGGACATGGTATCTCCTCCCACCCCAATCCGTAGCAGAGCAGCCCACTGTAGTGGGGAAGATTTCCTTCAATCCCAAGGATGTGCTGGGACGTGGGGCAGGCGGAACTTTTGTCTTCCGGTGAGTGGCAGGTGGAGCCCAGGCTGCAGCTGTGTCACTTGCAGCCCTTTTGACAACAACTAAAGGACGGGCATTCTTCCAGACTCCCAGACTTGGGGATAGGTCCTGACCCTTCTTTCTTGTATCTGCTTTCTCTGAACTCCCAACCCTTGGTCCACCTCTCAGAGGACAGTTTGAGGGACGGGCAGTAGCTGTGAAGAGGCTCCTCCGAGAGTGCTTCAGCTTGGTTCAGCGAGAGGTGCAGCTGCTCCAAGAATCTGACAGGCACCCCAATGTGCTCCGCTACTTCTGCACTGAGCGTGGTCCCCAGTTTCACTACATTGCCTTGGAGCTCTGCCAGGCCTCCTTACAAGAGGTGGGATGGGAGCCCAGGAAGGGAAGGAGGGATGGAAGCGTTGGACTGGAAAGTGACATTTTTGTCTCGCCCTCATCTTAGTACGTGGAGAACCCAGATCAAGACCACTGGGGCCTGGAGCCCACCATGGTGCTACAGCAGATGATGTCTGGCCTGGCCCACCTGCATTCCTTACACATAGGTACCATGTCTTACTTCCAGTCCTTAGCTCCCTGCTCTTCCACATCGGCAATCACTCACTCTCCCCTTCCTTCCTGTAGTACACCGTGACTTGAAACCAGGCAACATTCTCATGGCTGGGCCTGACAGCCAGGGACAAGGCAGAGTAGTTATCTCTGACTTCGGCCTCTGCAAGAAGCTACCTGTAGGCCGTTGTAGCTTCAGTCTCCATTCCGGCATTCCCGGCACAGAAGGCTGGATGGCACCAGAGCTCCTGCAGTTACCCCCAGACAGCCCCGTGAGTCTGCCCACCAGTAACAGGGCTTCCTCCATGCCCCAGCTCTTCTTTGAAAAAGGCCCCTCCAGGCCTGTCCCTCTATCACCAGGGGATAATCCACTCCCTCTTTCCCAAATCAGTCTCCATCAGGGACTGTTCTACAGCTGAGAGGACATTAGGCAATGTCTGGAGGCATTTTGGCTGGCTTGCCTTGGGAAGAAAGTGCCTCTTTCATTTTGTGAGGCAGGAATGCTACTAAACATGCCACAGTAGAACATGGCACAGTATACAGGGCACCACACACCCCTGACAGTTTTTTTTCTTTCAGTACCACCCAGGTTGAAAAACCACAACTTAGAAAAAATGACTTTGTTGGCATGGGCTCTTAGTACCTAGTCTTAGGCCAACCTTTAATCCTCAGCTTTCCCATTTCAGCCTCTCGAGTGCCAGGATTACTCGCATCATGCCAGGCTTAGAAAGATGCTTAACCTTCACTATTCTTCAGTCATTTAGTGTGGTAGCCTGTAATTGGGGCACTGAGGAAGCTGAGGCAGGAGGATCCTAAGTTCAAGCTACATAGAAAAAAGATGTTGGCTTTTGCCGGGGGTGGGGTAGGGAGGTGGGTGATGGTGGGTATGCCTTTAATCCCGGCACTTGGGAGTCGGAGGCAGGTGGATCTGTGAGTTCGCAGCCAGCCTGGTCCACAGAGTGAGTTCCAGGACAGCCAGGACTGTTACACACAGAAACTCTGCCTCAAAAAAAAAAAAAAAGAAAAGAAAAGAAAAGAAAGGAAGGAAGGAAAGAAGGAAGAAAGAAGAAAGAAAGAAGGAAAGAAAGAAAGAAAGAAAGAAAGAAAGCACGAAAGGAAGAAAGAAAGGAAAAAAAAGATGATTTTCACTTGTTCTGACCTAATGAGCTAGGTAGGATGCAATGTCAGTATAGACCTGGGGTTAGTATCAGAAAGTCACACACATGCACACACGCACAGGCACACACACACTCACGCCGCTCTACAGGTCCAGTTAGGATTTTTAGCAAGGACCACTTCCTCCTTCTCATGCCCATCTTTCTGACCCCCAGACCAGTGCTGTGGATATCTTCTCTGCGGGCTGTGTGTTTTATTATGTGCTTTCTGGTGGCAGCCACCCCTTTGGTGAGAGTCTCTATCGCCAGGCCAACATCCTCTCGGGGGATCCCTGTCTGGTTCATCTGGAGGAAGAGACCCACGGTGAGGAAGGGAGAACCCAGCCAGACCAGCAAATATGGGAGGAAGGAAGCATGTGGCTGAGCATCTATAAACTATCCCTCCTCTTCTGCCTTCCAGACAAGGTTGTGGCATTGGATTTGGTGAAAGCCATGCTGAGCCTGCTGCCTCAGGATCGCCCTTCAGCAGGATGGGTGCTGGCCCACCCCCTCTTTTGGAGTAGAGCCAAGCAGCTCCAGTTTTTCCAGGTCAGATGGAGATCTTGGGAAGGGCCCCCAAGCTTCAAGTTTGGTTCTTGTCTTAGTTACTGTTCTATTGCTGTGAGGAGAAACCATGATCAAGGCAACTTATGAAGGAAGCATTTCGTTGGGGACTTGCTTACAGTTCCAGAGTTAGTCCATTATCATCTCGGTGTTGTGGTGATTGCTGTGAGGAGAAACCATGATCAAGGCAACTTATGAAGGAAGCATTTTGTTGGGGACTTGCTTACAGTTCCAGAGTTAGTCCATTATCATCTCAGTATCATATCAGCAGGCAAGCATGGTGCTGGAGCAGTAGCTGAGAGCTCACATTTAATCCACAACTTGAAGGCAAGAAAGGAACACTGGGCCAGGTGTGGGCTTTTGAAACCTTAAAGTCCACCCCCAGTGACACTTCTTCCAATTAGACCACACCTTCTAATCCTTCCCAAACAGTTCCACTAACTGGGAACCAGGCATTTAAACATATGGACCTATGGAAACCATTCTTTTTCAAACCATCACAGGTCCTGAACAAGAAAAAGGAAGTCAGAGTCTTGTTACTTTGGACCCTGGAATGTGTGTATATGTTCTAGCTTCCCCTTTTTGGAAATGCAGTTTACTCTCATCTGCAGTCATTCACACTGCAACATCAGTGCAGATGCTCCTTCCATTTGTGACCTTGGGCAAGAGACCACACTTGAGCTGTAGGCTGCCTACCTATAGAACAGAGGCAACAGTACTTCCCTCAAGGTGGGTGGTGGCATAGAGGTAGGGCACAGGGAAGCTACACTCTCCAGGAGGCAATTGCCCTTGTCATCTGAAGTTAAGAGGCTATCACTACTTCAACACCAACCACATAACACAACCCTAGCCCTGGTGCCTCTGATACTGTCCATAAGACTTAGGAGCTATGTGGGGTCCTAGGATGTCAGCGACTGGTTGGAGAAGGAGCCAGAGAAGGGGCCCCTCGTGATGGCACTGGAGGAAGGAAGCCACAAGGTGGTTCGAGAAAACTGGCACAAGCACATCTCAGCACCACTGCAGGCAGGTAGAGGCCACACTTGGGTGGGCCTGAGGGGAAGAGGCCCAATGGGACATCCCTGCAGCCCATTTCTCTGCCCACAGATCTGAAAAGGTTCCGATCATATAAGGGGACATCAGTGAGAGACCTACTCCGTGCCATGAGGAATAAGGTGTGTACTAGAGCCTGGGTGGGAAATGGACCAGGGATGGCCTGGCATAGCTAAGCCAGGATCTTTGTCCTACCCATCCCCAGAAGCACCACTACAGGGAGCTCCCAACTGAGGTACACCAGGCACTAGGCCAACTCCCTGCTGGCTTCATCCAGTACTTCACACACCGTTTCCCAAGGCTGCTGCTCCACACCCACCATGCCATGAGGACCTGCGCTTCTGAGAGCCTCTTTCTGCCCTACTATCCGCCAGCTTTGGATACCAGGAACTCCTGCCAGATGCCACAAAGAGCTCAGACAACCAGGGGCTCCAAAGGTGGACCAAGGAGTTAAACGCATGGCTCAGTCTGGTCTCAGGAGTGTCAGAAAAGATGGGCAGCGGTTTAGCAGCCTGAGGCTGTTGGAGCAGAGAAATACTTTGGGGTCACGGTACCCTCAAGAAATACAGAATTAAAAAAAAAAGGGGGGGAGGCAATGTACATATATTTAATGTATATAAAGCTAATAAAAGGGCAGTCCCAAGTTCAATAGAAATATCTATACAATCCATACAGTGGGCTGAGGGCAGGGGAGGAGGCTGTAACCCACACCCAAACATGTACAAAAATAACTTACACAGCAACCCCTTCAGGGGGGTGCACTGCTCCCCACCCAGCCCCCAGAGCCAGGGAGCACTGGACAGCAGCCCCAGGAGCCCAGCAGTGCAGGCCCACACAGAGCTTGCAGAGTGAAGCAGCACCAGTCCGAAGGACAGAGGCCTAAGAGGAGGCCTTCAGGCGGTTGCTGGCAGAGCGCGAGCTTAGCAGCTTGTCTACCATGGTACGGGCATAGCGTAGCCGGCTAGCCAGTTCCTTGCAGCAACCATATTCCTCCAGAAGACTTAGGCGGTATGTGCGGAAGTCCCTCTTCTCATCGATATAGGTCACTGCTGCCATCAGAGGGCACAGGATAAGTTTTGTGTGGTCCTAGGAGGGAAGAAGGAAGTGAGTGAAGAGCTCAGCTGGTGCCTGAGGTTGAGGCAAGGGAAGGAAGGCACCCCAGCTGGCGAAAGGGACATTACTCCCACCCCATCCAGCCACCCTAAGTACAGGCGCCTGTCCCTGCACACCTGAAAGAAGTTAATTTGTACAGTCCCATTGCTGAGGTGCAGGATGATGGCACTGCGTGTGCGGAACCACGTTCGCAGGTAAGGCAGCCGGGCCAGTTCATCACCTTCCCGAGGTGTGATGTTGGCCCCTGCCTTCAGCAAGTGTTCACTCATGTAATTTCGGAAATACTTCAGGAGCGTGATCTGGTTGAAAAGTTGGGGTAAGGATTCCAGAATAAGGGCCTGACCCTGAGGTAGCCCCCATACCCTACCAAACCATCCCTCAGCAGTCAGTTCCCACCTTCTTCATCAACGAGTTAGGGTGGGAGCTCACGGTGAGGTAAGACTCTGTGCCATCACGTTCTATGTACTGTAGGCTGTCACCGTCATTGTAGAGGATGAGGCGTGTTGAGTCATTGAAGAGCACCCCCACACTGTTGTCACACAGCTGATACCCTAATGGCAGGTGGAAGGCTATCTCAGAAAGGCAGGAGGAGGTGGACAAAGGCCTGGGAAATAGCTTAGTAGTAGAGTGCCTGCATGCATAAGGCCCTAACAATTCTTGGTAACACAGACACACAATTACAGACATCACTTGCTCCTCACTCAAAGGCTACCATGGCCACACCATCCCCTGCCCATCCCACATTCTGGAGACACCTACCAAGTCCATACTTGTCCGAATAGTCCACCCACTTGCTGACCCAGAAGATAGGGATACATGCAGGATCCTCAGCCTCCTCTGGGATAGAAACAGACCACTGGTTAGGCCAGCCCCTTCTCCTGTCTTCTCAGGCAGCCCTCCCCAGGGCTGGGAGGAGGGGGGTACCCCATGAAGCCTGGGGAGGAGCCTGACAGTACAAACCTAGACACCCAAATGGAAAATCGCAGCCCAGGATGCCAAGTCCCTCTTCATTAAATGGACCCCTTTACTGTGTCCCAGGAAGGAGAGGACAGGAAAAGAAAACCCCAGGTATCTAGAAGGGCCCTCGTTCCAACCACAGAGATGAAGTGTGATCAAAGTCTCTTAAGCTGCTGTCATTAGCACTGGGGCTGGTGAAGGCCTAGTGCCCCAGATTAAAGTGACGAAGAAACTGAGCAGACCTGACAACTCCTGCAATGCCAGAACCAACTCAGTGCACACAAGACCCTTCTGCAAAGACACAAATATGTTGGGAAGAAATGTTATAGAGAATTATGTCAGGCTGGGAAGTGCTGGTAGTGGGTGTCAGGGTGGTGACAGAGGGCACAAAAGCCCTGAGGCTGGAGTGGTCCCGAATCTTCTGAGTACCAAGGGAGTATTAATTCCCTGGGCAGAAAGGAGACACAATAGATGCAGCTATGCCGAGGTGACCTATCAGCCACCTATAAAACAAGAGGGAGCAGAAACCAGCAGAAGGTACACCAAGGAGGGTCTTGGGTGTCATGCTGACTCATCTGGATTTTGATCTATAAGAAATGGGCTCTCTGCTGTGCTGATCGAGATGCCCTGCCTTCTCCACATGTTCAGCCCCCTATGATGTCCTCTCACCTTGCCGCACCAGCCCTCGCTCTGAGGGCTTAGAGGCATTGACACTGGTCAACTGCTGCAGCAAGTCACTAAGGTGGCACTCAATGGCTTCATTCGTCTCCCGAACCACTGGTTCCTCCTTTTCCCGGGGACGGTCAGGCAATGGGTTCTCCACACCTAAGAAGATGAGCAACATGGTCATTCATTGGCCAGGCACAAAATTGGGGAGGGAGCACAGGATTACCTGCCACAGCTAACAGTCTTCCCACAGTACCCATTAACTATCACTGCTGTGGGGGAACTGAGTCAGTACCAGGTTTTCTGTGTCAGGTATGTGGTACATACTGAGAGGTCACAAAGTGTCAGGTGCTCAGGTCTCTGCTCCAACAGCCTGGCCTTCCAGGACAGCAGCTGTCACTGACACTCAGGGAGGCAGCCTGAAGGCACCAATTCAAGCAAAGAATGAAGGTCACCTTGTGCACCCAACAAGGTGGAAGGATGGGTGAAGTAGTATAACCCTTTTGCTTTGTGTGCTTACAGATAACTAAGTCTAATGAAACACACATTGAAGCGTTAGGTTGGCCTATGGTGGCCAGAGGCATGCTGGTCACTCTTGCTGTCTTTACACTTAAACATTTCCCCAAACCAACATGTGTTAGTTCTCCTGTGAAATAGGACTTCTTAAATTTTCAATTAAAAACAATAACAAAATCCCACCAAGCTATATTGAAATTTTAAGTGTGAAATAAAATATTCAATATCTGATTTTAAAACTAGCCAAGCTGGGGGGGGGGGGTTGGCACACACCTTTTATCCCAGCACTTAAGAGGTAGAGGTAGGCGGATCTCTGTTAGTTAGAGGCCATCTTAAGCTACATAGTGAGCTCTTGTCTCCAAAGGGAGTGCGGGGGAGAAAAAAAAAAAAAAAAAAAAAAAAAAACTAATATAGGATTAGATTAATGTTCACAATCCCGAAGGTTGTGCTGTGTCTGTCATGTCTGTTTTCAAGACATATACACTGAAGCATTACCAGCAGGGGAAAGCTTGCCCTCAAGCAGGTAAGAGAAACATATAGGGAACTGATGAGGCAAACATCAAAAGAATATAAACAGTCTGGGGGAAGGGAGGGCAGATGCTTCCTGTTCATTCTTCTACCTATGTATTTGTTTGTTTGTTTTCAAGACGGTTTCTCTGTCTAACAGCTCTGGCTGTCCCAGAACTCACTCTGTAGACCAGGTTGGTCTCGAACTCACAGACATACTTTAGTTTAAGGGTAAAATGGCAGACTGCTGGAGTTGGCTGCAGTGACATTTCAAAAGTGAGATGTACTGATAAACTTGTAATCCAGAGCCCTAGGCAGGAGGACTGAATCCAAGAGCAGCCTGGGCAAGTTTTCTCTTGAAAAACAAAACATAAGCTCTCAAAGGGATGAAAGGTACAAAGGAGTGAACGAACCATGGTGGCTGAGAATAAGAACTGAAGATGGGTACTAAATTACATTCCAAGTATGGACCTGACAAGTTCCAGCATTCTCAACAAACCATGCAAGAGAGATGTTAGGGAATTCCTCCCCCCTCCCCCCAAGGTTTCTCTATATAACAACCCTGGCTTTCCTGGAACTCATCCTGTAGACCAGGTTGGCCTTGAAAACAAAGATCTGCCTGCCTCAGCCTCCCAAGTGCTGGGATTAAAGGCATGTACCACCACTGCTCAGCGATATTAGGGACTTTTAAAAGTAATCAAAACGAATTTCCTGGGCTTGGTGTTCAGTCTACTTTCTCCTTCTTGGGCCCAATGAGTTGATTCGGTCTGTTTTTCTTGCCAAGCCAAAGGGGCAGAAGAGCCCAGGCACCAGACCTCAAGAATAGAACCCAACTCTGAGGCAGAGTAAGGTGCATGCATCCTGAAATGCACACAGGAAATCTGGGATCTCTGGGGTCTACCCTACTGGGACTGAGCTTTACCTTTATTGAGAACTGTGAGAGGCTTCCTGCTGCTGGGGTCCAGGCTGCTGGGAGCAATTGAAAACCTTGGTGGGATGGTGAGGCAGGTGATGGGGAGACGGGCAGGGATATAACCAGAAGTGAAGAACTCGTCATTGAGCAACTCGTGAATGGTGGGGCGGGCAGTGGGGTCTGTCTGAAGCATCTTCTGGATAAGGGAGGCGGCCACGGGATTGATGTGCTGGAGTGGAGAGGGAGAGCCTAAGTGAGATGAGACAGGGACACCACCTGGCATGCAGCTGCTCCTGTCTCAAATATACCATAGCTCAATGGCCACTAAGTTCTACCAGGTCCCTCCACCTTCAGCTTTAGCAAGGACCAATGTCACCTTACTGAGTGAGAAGGATCATTTATTTCTTGTCACTTGTCACTCAATAGTAACTAGGGATGATTTCTCCACCTCACCCTTGCAATGACATTTAGTTATTTACCACCAGAAGAGTAGCTGAGAACACAGGCCTCCAGGTCCCCAGACCTGTATTTAAATCCTAGTTCCATTCCCTTGATTCCAGCTATGACAAATAGTCTGGGCTTTCTGGGCCCACCAACACATTATCTATAGAATGGGGGAGGAGTCCCATACCTGGGACACTACCAGGTGGGATATCTCATTTATAGGATAAATGAGGTATTTATGGGATAAAATTGACAGGCCTAGCACAATCACAGCACTAACTAACTATGCTTCTTATGTACCAGGAATGTATTCCTTTACATTAATTCATTTGGCTCTCACAAAAAGGACTAAAGAACTCTCTTCCACCTCCTTCTCTGTAGAATTTGAATTGAGACAGGATCTCACTATGTAGCTGAGGCTAGCCTAGAACTTAGGATCCCCCTGCCTCAGCCTTACAAATGTTAAGACTACTCTACTATTAGGTCTCACTTGTAGATGAAGAAACAAGCTCAGAGGAGGAGGTGTCCCTGTCTGAGAATAGATTCAGCCTAGGTGATAAAGCCAAGACTTATACCACAGCAGTCCAGCTGGCACATGCTCTATGCAATGAGCTGACCTTCCGTGACATAGCTACTCTATATTTAAGTCAAGACTATGGATTTGAAAGAGGCCACAAGTCCATGTGGACCTAGTTCCCAGAAATGGGTTATCCCTTCAAAAGGATTTATGCTATTGGCTGTGAAAATAGATGCCATTTTGTCATTGGAAGCTCTTGGGGGAACTCCTACTTTGCAGATGGGAAGCCTAGGTTCATAAGAATCAAGTCATCACCCTTAAACACAGCTCAGCTGGGTAGAGATGGTCTCCATCCCAAGCTTAAGCAGATCTACCCCTACTCCCTCCATTTCTCCTTATGCTTTACATTATGCTTCCATTCAGGAAGCTGGGCTTGGGCTCAGTTTGGTAGAGTGCTTGCCTATAAGCACAAAGCCAAGTTCAGCTTCCAGTATACCATAAAGCCAGCATGATAGAGAATGCCTCAATTTCTCTCTCTCTCTTTGGTTTTTTGAGAGAGAGGTTTTTCTGTGGCTTTGGAGGCTGTCCTGGAACTAGCTCTTGTAGACCAGGCTGGCCTCAAGCTCAGAGATCCGCCTGCCTCTGCCTCCCCAGTGCTGGGATTAAAGGCAGGCACCACCACCGCCTGGTTGAATGAATGCCTATAATCTCAACACTTGGGTGGTAAAGGCAGGAGAATCTGATATTCAAACTCAGCATGCAGTAAATTCAAGGTCAGCCTTCAGACATACATTCCCTGTGGCTATACTAGAGGCAGGGCTGACTCATCTTTGTCCCCAGGATATAGTTGGGCTCAGTGATCAGATTTTGGGTGGAACATAAAATAAATTAAAGCATTATGGTGCCATTACCTTGGGAATGCTGTATTCATTTTTCTTGATCCGGAGGTAGGTCTCTTTTAGGCATGAGGTCTCAAAAGGTGGCTTGCCCACTAGCAAGGTGTACCTGGAGGCACAAGGAAGGATTTTGCTCAAATTCCCAGAAAAGTCCAAATGCAGAAGTCATTGTCTAGAGGAAGGGAGCTGGGCTGGATTCACTGACTCAGAACGGATGAGGCTGATCTCCAAGTCTGCTCAGTCTCATAGAAGCCAATGGCTGGGATAAGCCCTCAGAAGAATGCAGGTGACAACACTGAATACCAAGCGCTAGAGATTCCCCAGCTCTGGCCTGCAGTAATAGAGGACTCCTCAAGAACCGCAGAGGCCACTGCTATCTGCCACAGGCACAAGCACCATGATGGAGCTTCTGCCTACCATGAACCTTTCTGCTGATCTGATTCTCCCATCAGCACTCATCAGTGTTTCCAAAGCTTTACTGAAAGTCAGCCAGGGATTTTATTAGACCCAGGTCCAGAACTGAGATTTCCACATCCTAACAAACCCTCAGAGGTATTGATGGTTTGGGTTAGTGCATGCTTTTAGTAAGCAGCAAGGAGCTGGAGGAAGAAGTGTAGACACATTTGGTCCCTTCCCTGGACCATAAGTCCAAGCTACAGGAATGCTATAGCCCACACTAGATTGATAAATAAGGAAAAGGGGCTTCATGTGGGATCCAGAGGGAAAGGTCAACTGGATGAAATGCCTCAGAAAATCCTGTTGAGACCCAATAGCTCCTGAGTCCATTCCCAACTTACATGATACACCCAATGGACCACACATCCACCTCAAAACTGTGTCCCTTCTTGCTCAGCACCTCGGGAGCTATGTAGTTAGGAGTGCCACATAAGGTCTTCTTTCGTTCACCTTCATATTCCACTTTGGTTGCCAGCCCAAAGTCCCCTGGGACAGAGGGAAGAAGAGAGGTGATTAGCTGCTAGGCCATCTTGTGGCTGCAGACAACTGCCTCAGGACTGACCATAGAGAGCCAGTGCCTCAAGACTCCAGTCTCTGTTCCCGAACCTTCCCACTGCCCTTTACACTCCTCTTTAGATAGCAGGGCTAGGGAAGTAAGATGGCTCAGTAGGTACAGGTGCTTGCCGCTAAGACTAACAACTTGAGTTGACCCTGGAACCCACAATGGAAGAACAGAACTGACTCCAGAAAGTTACCTTCTATCTCGAACCCCACATATATGAAATTTAAAATACATAGGATAGCAGAATTGGATGCACTAGGGAATCAAGTAAATATTCTTTGTGACTGTGACAAGTTTAAGAAAAGTGACAGGAGTATAGGGACTGAGGCAAATCAGAGTCTCAAGGGAAAAGGTGCTTTTCAGCTCAGTAAAGGGACAGCAAAACACTGGCCTGTGGGACACTTACTTTCCATTTCTGGACAAGAAGGCTTTCTGGAGGGCAGCACCTCCATTTCCCACCCACCTTCCACTTCTCTGGCTCCCATTCTCCCAGAGTTCCCCTCCTTGCCACCTCTTGTACTGGCACCAGACACCCGCAGGCCCAGCACCTCACCTATTTTCACCTCCAGATCCTCGTTCAGGAAGAGGTTGCCTAGCTTGAGGTCCCTGTGAATGACCTGATTTCGGTGCAGATACTGGCAGCCCAGGACTATCTGACGTAGATAGTAGCGTGCCTCGGGCTCGGTCAGCGCTTTCCTCCTCTTGTGCAGTTCCAGGAGAGACTGAGGAAGAGGGAAGAAGGTAGTTAAGCCCAAGGAAAAGGGTGGCCAGCTGGATGTGGCCAAGATTAAACCCTCGGGAGTAAAGTATAGACGGAAGTTTCCTATCCCGACCAGCCGATTCCAAATAACTACTCTGAGGCTTATATTAATTATAAATGCTCGGCCTATAGTACAGGCTTAGCTAACTCTTCCACTTATTAACCCATAATTCTTATGTCTTGGCAGGCTCCTAATGGTTCTGTCCATACACTGGTCAGGCCATTATCATTCACAGGACCCCTCTCCTGTTAACGAGTACCCTTACCCAGCGTCTTCTCTCAACCCCTTATTTAGGGGCTTCCTCCCAGCAGGAGACCCTCTCCTTTTCCTGAAAGCTGAGGTCTGACTCCAGACAGCCTCTCCTCCCTCCCCCACTCCAGACCCTGCCCCACTCCACTCCGGAAGTTCTAGGTCCGCGGCAGCCGTAGCTTGGGACCCTTGTTAATCACTTTAAACACCCATTTCCTGCACCTACTGGCAGTCTTGCGTGCAGGAGCCACCTTCCCTAATAATAGCAACAGGTCCCGGGTTCCGCTTGCCCTCAACCCCCGGCCTCAGCAGCTCGGAATGCCAAACACCCTCACCAGGAGCCCCTTCATAATTGCTTGAAACCCAAGCACTCCTCTAGGCCACTCCAAGGCGTCGATGCCTCTTTGCCAGCAAGTTCCCGGTGTGGTCGCCCCAACACCACAGCAGAAACACTCACCCTCCTGCGACAGAGCTCCAAAACCACAAACACAAAGTCGCTGTCCTCAAAAAAGCCGTGGAAGCCTACGACGTGTTGGTGTGCGAGGCTGCGGTGGATAGAAATCTCCATAGACATCTTTTCCTTTTGGTGGGGCTTGAGAAGTAAAGACTTCGGCACGATCTTGCCTGCGAACACCTCCTTTGTGTCTGCATCCGAGATCTCGAAGCATTTGGCAAATCCTCCTTTACCCAGAAAGCGGCCCCGCACATACTGGCGCCGGCTGCGTGGGTCCACTAAGACCTCAGGAATCTCTTTCGACAGCGGGGCGGTCACTGGGGCACCGGTAGCTGCATCTCCAGGAACCCCAGCTTTCCCGAGATCGGCTGGTGCTCGAGCCAGCTTTTTGGCCGCTGCATTCATGCTCCTAAATTTGCTACGCGAACCTGGCCGGGCCGGTGCAGAGATCTTGCCCTGCTCCGCTCCTCCCCGAATTCAAACGCAGCGCTGGGAACGTTACAAGGACCTGCGCGTTGTTGATTGGCCGCGGGGATTTAAAATACAAACCCGCCCAGCGCGCGGCACCATGGGAGTGCTCTACGGCGCAGCCGCTTTTAAACCCCCGATCTTGTGAGGAGAAACTTGATGGGCTGGGACTTAAGGATTAAATGCACGTGGGATACCCTGGGAAACTAGGAGCGGATGGAATACGCGGAAATACCCAGGGGACAGAATTCGGTCCGGCTTTCTGCTCCTCGGCCAGAGAATGCTCCTGTGGTTCATGCCCCTCCTCCAGAGGCTTCTCCAGTTAGGACCTAACTAACACCTTCCTCCACTCCTCCTGGCCTTCTAGATCTGAAACTCCAGGCCTAGAGGTAGCTTGGCAGTGCACCGCCTTCGCCCTCGACTGCCGTCTCCCTGGCTAGTCTATATAAACACAAACCTGAACAAACCCAGCATGTCTGGCAGGCAAAAGGAAGCTCTGTGGCAACCACTCCCGGAGCCCGAATTGAAAGGAGCTCTAGACTTCTCCAGTAAAACCCAGGGGTCAGCAGTATCTGCAACACCCAGGAACTCCTTAAGAAGGAGCGTGGGTTCAAGATTGCAAGTTAGCCTAAGGCCAGCCTCAGCTACCAGGCAACATTCCTTCCCCCCTACCCTCGAAGGAAAGAAACCGCCCAGGTCTGACCTGCAGGTCAAACAAGACTGTCAGGTGATTCCTACACAAGGTGATCAAAGGCGTGGTAGCACACGCCTTTGATCCTAGAACTCGGGAGGCAGAGGCAGGCAGATCTCTGTGAGTTTGAGATCAGCCTAGTCTACAAGAGATAGTTCCAGGACAGTCTCCAAAGCCACAGAGAAACCCTGTCTCGAAAAACCCAAAAAAGAAAAGAAAAAAAGAAAAGCATCAGCTCTCTCCCCCCTCTCGCTGCGTTTGAATTCGGGGAGGAGAGGAGCAGAGCAAGATCTCTGCACCGGCCCGGCCAGGTTCGCGGAGCAAATTTAGGAGCATGAATGCAAGGTTACCTGGCTTGTCCTAAGTTGCTCCAAATAGAGAAAACTAGTTTTTTTAGTCAGAGGGAGGGATGGCTGGTTGGAGAGTGCTAGCAAAGTAGCAGGGCCAAATCTGCCCAGCAGGGGTGTTTGTTGGCCTTCATTTAAAAAAAAAAAAAAAAATTTACAACACTTAAAAGGAATGGCCACACAGTGCAGGTGAGTGACTTTCCTAAAAAAGTCAACTCTGGCCGCCGTTCTCCAGGCACTCCCTTTGCCTACTTGCCCGTCTGACTTCTGTGGAAACTCTGAACACACCAGGTAGGTGCTTGGCACTGAGTCAACTGCTTTTGCCACCCTGGACATGGGGACAAAGGCATATAAGATGGACTTTGCACCCAGATAACAGCTGGCTTTTGATGCAGCTCAGCCAATTTTCTGGTGTGCAGCACTAGGCAAATTTACTCAACTTCTCTGATAATTAGTTTCCTCCTCTGTAAAATGGGTTGTGAAAATCCCTACTTTATTGACAATTGAGAGGATTAAATATTTTCTGCTGAGTGTCTGCCATTCCACAGGTGCAAAATATGAATGATTCCCCCATCATCTCTTTTGTGGCAGTCTGATTATAAAGATTAAGATCTGCTTGATCTTATTTTAAGTCTAAAATTGTCAGAATGCTGTGCTTTTTTAACTCCAGGGGTTCTACTCATGGTCTTTCACTTTCTAAAGATAGTTCTGGCTCCTGTTTATGGGGTGCACACTGAGAGCCAGTGCTTTCCATGTGTGAAGGAACTAAAATTCTCAAAAGCACCCTGCCCACCTTCTTGCTTTATAGATGAGAGAGCTGAGGTTCCAAGGGGTCAGATAACAAGAAGTTGACATGCCCACCTTCAGCACCCATGTTTCATGACTACTGCTGAAATAAGACCTCTACTAGACAACTCTATAGTTTGCTTCACAGCTTTCTCCCCTGACTAAGCTGTAATGTTCCTAGGAGCAGGGACTGACTGCGTGTTACTCTCCAGCACAGGGCCTGGTTCTCAGTGTGGCTCGGTAAGTATTTTAAGTGAATATGTAGGTGGCTGGTGCTACATAACATGTAGTCAGGGTCCCACCTTCCTATGCTAATGGGCAACAAGCACACAAGCTAGGAGAAGCACAATGCTGTTGCTAGGCTTCTGTATTTCAGTGAGCATGGACTTATGACAACTTGTCTAAGGTTACAGGGCATTTTTCTGAGACCAGTTATGAACAGCTAGACTCTTAGACATGTCCCAGTACTGCCAGTACTATTTTAACCACCTTATAGCTTCATTAGAAACTACCAGATGATCTATGGAAGCCAGTTTGTCCTGGAAGGAAGCTGATGCCAGCTGAAATATGGCTGGAGAACATCCTCTGGGTTCTTATAGGCAGGCCATGGTGGTATGCCTAGAAAGACCTTCCTAACTGCCAAGACCTCTTCATTATGGCTAATATTCTAAAATTGTATAAGTAGGACAAGTAATCAGATTAATTTCAAACCTACCCTGGACCAGATGTGTCAATGACTTGGAAAAGAACTATAGCCTTGGGTCCTAGGAGAATTGGTTGATGTATAAGTGACTCATTCAGAAGTCACTACCCATCCCAACCAACCACAAAGGCTCTGGATAACCATGTAAGAAAGAATGGGCCAACAGGACCTTACTGGTCAATTATTCAAACTTGTTCCCAGCCCCTGGGATCCTATAATGTGAAACTCATCTGGGCAGGAGTGGGGATGGGTTGAGCATGGCTCATATCCAGGCAAGCATCTACTATGTAAGTGCTGGATAACCCAGGAGCTTAATCCTAGTTCCTCAGGACTAGAAATGGAGGCATCTAGGAGACTTCCACCTAGATGGCTGACTGGGGACAACAGGAAGCAGTTCCAGTCAGAAAGCCATCCTTGAAATAGCTCTTGTTGACCACACCCACTCGAGCTAAGCATTTTTCCCTTTGCCTTAGTATGGGCCCTTCAGGGCCCTTATAAATTGTCCTTTGGTAGCAAGAGTAATGAAAACATGGGTTAAGTGTACATGGGGAGTAAGAAGGGTAAAGTGAAGAGGCCTGTACTAGATACGGAATGATTTTTCCTGCCCAGACATAGTTATCCCTTCTGTAGTAGTTTCATTCATTTCCTACAACCACTAACCATTAACTCAATCCATATGTGTGCTTGTATCTCAGCTTCTTAGCTACAATGAAGACTTGAGCCTGGATACCTCTTGTCTGGGCCAATGGGAACCAAAGCCAGGGAGGTTTCAGCAAAGGGGAACTCTTTCTAGCAATAACAAAGACTGTATTTATAGGGGGTGTGTGTCAAACTATGGTATCTGAAAATAAGTCAAGCATGGTGACACACACCTTTAATCCCAGGAATCAGGAGGCAGAGGCAGGCAGATATCTGGGAGTTGAGACTATCTGGCCTATAGTGAGGTTCCATGACAGTCTACAGTACTACATAGAAAGACTCTTGTCTCAAGAAAGACAAACATATAGCAAACCAGGCATTGATGGCACATGCCTTTAATCCCAGCACTCGGGAGGCAGAGGCAGGTGGATCTCTGTAAATTCAAGGCCACCACGGTCTACGAGGGAGATCCAGGACAACCTCCACAACAATACAGAGAAACCCTATCTCAAAAAACAAAACAAAAGCAAAACCAAAAACAAACAGACAACAAAAGAACCATCTCAAAGGAAAACAGAGGAGCTAGAGAGAGGCAGGTCCTTGTGGCACTTTGGTCTTGGACTCCAGCCTGAAGTGCAGCTAAGACCTGGCTTTCTCAGCAGCAGAAACCCAACTCCTTCCTCTCCTCTCTGCATCTGGAAAGATCTTTCCCGTCTGCCTTCACTTCTAATATTCCAAGAAGAAAGATTTTTTCTTTTGTGGAATTATAATTGCCTAGTAACAGGCTGTCCCTGGGGTGAGAGCCACCATGGAGACAGAGTCCAGCTGGCTTTTCCTAGGATACGAACTCATGACTGTTAGCATACTCTCAAATACCATCAGCACACAATTACAGAGCTACTACTGTTTACAGTAGGGACTGTTTTTTGTCTTCTCAGCACCCTGATTTGGCAATAGATACTATTCCTCACACTAGGGAGAGGGAGGAAAGGTGATGACCCTGATTGGATCAATCACAGAGCCAAACACCATTGGCCATAGTCACTGATCTAAAAGGGCACAGGTCTCACAGTGTAAGGCACAAAGCACTTTCTTTGGGATTTGCCAGGTAAAACTGGAGTGCCGCTGGGATACAATGGTAGAAATCTAGAGCTGTAATCTGTCATATCCCAAATGTACAGACAAATCTCACTTGCAGTAGAAGAAAAACAAACACAGAGGTCTGCTCAAGGCTGCTTACTATCTACTTATGTCCATGCTCTTTAATATCAGGAAATCCTTCCTAGCCTAGGTCACAGAGGCTGTGTCTAAAGACACACACACGCACGCACGCACGCACGCACGCACGCACAATATGACCTGTTACCTCAAGTTTGGCCACCCAAATGGAGATTAAGTTTACAGTCTCCCTTGAGGCTCAATGTGGAAAGGTGACAAGCAGGATAACTGATGATATCAGGTAGCCCAGTCACTTACTTGTGTGTCTCTGCACTGTTAGGGGAGTGTGATGGCTACTCTTGGTTGTCAACTTGATGACATTTAGAATTAACAAAACCCAAATAGCTAGGTACACCTGTGAGGGATTTTTTTTTCTTCCTTAATTAAACTACTTGAAGTGGGAGAATCCACTTCTAATCTGTAGCTTTAAGATGGGAAGATCCACCTTTCACTTGGACTATACATTCAGCAAGCAGCTTCTGTAAAGGGCATGGAAAAAGGAAGCATTTTCTCTCTGCCTGCTTGCTCTCACACCTCCATTGGTATTAGAGATAGCTTCTTCAGGATTCCAGTGTATACTAAACAACAGGTGAGAAATCCAGCCTCACAGACTGAGCAACTTCTGGATTCTTGGACCTTCCACTGGTAGATGGCCATTATTGGAGTAGGTGGACCACAGCCTGTAAGCCACTCTAATAAATCCTCTGTGTGTGTGTATGTGTATTCATTCTGTATGTTCTGTTCCTCTAGAGAACCCCGACTAATACAGTGAGTGAGAACCTTCTGCCTTGACTGAGGTACTGCATTCCTCAAGGTCTCAGATGCAGTGGCAGTCTGTCCTTTCACTAATGTGAAAAAGATGCAAAAGTGCACTGGTAGGTGTGTACCTTTGCATGCAACCCTCTAAGAACCTTTTGGAGAGTGCTTCCTAAGCACCAAAAGCTGCCCTTAATGTTTGACAGTCCCTCATTTAGTTGACTCTACTTTTCCCAGGTGCTAATGCTGATCACTATAGGATCCTAAGTTTCTTGCCTACCTGTATGCTTGTTGCCGCTTAGGCTTTTCTAGTGGTTTATTGTGTAAGGTGATAAGCTCCCTCCCTTTATTTTTGAAGTCTTGCTTTATAGCCCAGGCTAACCTCTAACTCACTGTATAACCTCAAATTTACAGCAATCCCCCTGTCTTCAGCCTACATAGTACTCCAACATACTTTTTAACTTCAGTTGATTAACAATGGAGGCAGTTGGGCTAGAGAGATGGCTCAGCTGTTAAAGGTTAGACTCACAACCAAAAATGTAAGCACAATGGAGGCAGTTGCAAAAAATGGCAAAACTCCTTTTGGAGGTATTTAAACACAAGCTGGACAGGTAACCTGCCACATATGCCCTGGAAAATATCTGAAGTTAGCATAGTGACCATCTAACTGCCAATTCCAACATTCACCTTTTTGATAACACCAAAGGACAAAGAATCTGGGGCAGGTAACTTGATATGACTAAGAAAAATCAGAACCACAACAGGTTGCTGATATCAGACAAGACACAGAGCAGATGGTCTCCAAGGACAAGTTCATTTTGTCTTTAGAGGGCAAATCTGACAAGTGCAGGCTGTGGACCCTGAGAGCCATGGGGAACTCCTGGGTCAGCTAGTTCTTCACTGTATGAATGGCACCAAGTTGTTTGATAGCTCTGAGTTTTTATTTCACGTGTTAAATGTGAGTATCATTGTGAGAAACAAACAAACCAATGAACAGAAAGCTTGTAGCATGGCTCCAGGTAGATAGTAAAGCCTAAGGAATAGCAGCTGCGATTACTAGAGGTGGAGAGTGGTCACTTTCAAATGTGTTCCATGTGTCAATCTTTTAATGTACCAACATAGTCCTATCCTTGAGTGCTGAACTGTTTTGCCAGTCTCTGAGAGCACTGGTGGACCAAGCCCTTCATCCTGAAACCAAGGATTCAGAACACAGCAGGGGGGGGGGGGGGGGGC